TCAAATAGGGGATATTGAATGTTGGGTTTTGTAAGGATCTAAATAAGTATGCAAAGTTTTCATTGATATGGCATTCGATAGAGTACTCTTGAATGCCTGTGTAGATACAAAAAAAAAGCGAAATCGAAAAAGTGAATTTTTTGAGTCCGGAAAGGACGGAGGGTGTCCTTAAAAAATCAGATCGGTTCGGTTCTAAAAAAACACGTTTCGATCCCATCTATAATAGAAATAGAAGGTACAAAGGGCATATAATATAATTTGGGTCTCTATAACTTACGCTTATGAGCGTTCATGAGTGTGAGCGTTTTCTCTGAGTCTCGAATAAGGAAAGGACGTTAGTCATCAGTTACGTTACCAAGCAGTTGATAACAATAAGTTTGCAAGTTCATCAAGGGAATAGCAATTTTTTAACAACAACAATTTTTCTAGTGAGGTTTAACCGAACAACTGAAATCCTCAATCAGTTTTTCGAAATTTTGAATGAGGTTTTTACTAAAAAATATCTTTTAGCGAAAAAAAAGAATTTTTTTTAGTAATAGAATCATATATTTTGCTTAAATAACGTTTCTTACTAAAAAGATAATTCATTTTTGCGAAAAAAATTTTCGTAGTAGAAAAGTCAAACTAAAAATATCGAGAAATCGATTACAGATTCGAATTCCTCGACCCCGAAAATCTTTGGTCAAACTTTATAAAAAACCACTATTTTTAGAAAGTTACTTTCGGTTTGATTTATTCTGAAAATTTCCGTTATTAGCTATCTGCTAACGCTAGTAACGTAACTGGCGAGTAACTGTAACTTCCCTCCTCTATCCGAGACAAAAAAAAAACGCTCACGCTCATGAGCGTGGACGTGAGGTGTACACACTTAATATTACTAACATTTTCGAGTGTAAGAACAAGTTCTAAGGATAAGGTTTAGGATGAGAGAGCGAGGTGGCTATAACTCTTCTGAATGTGTCTAATTATTTCATTTGTTTAAGTTGACGACGTTTCGTCATGTTGTTCTAAGAAACTCTTCGCCTTTTCTAGACCCCATAAATCTTCATGAATTTTCAAAATGTACGCACTATTTTTTTTCGAAATTCAGTTTGCAATGAGAAAGACTATACACTTACTGCAAACGTAGAAAATGGTGACTGTGATTGTGTACCTTTCTTCTCTTCTAACGTTGTTGTTATCGTTGTAACACAGAAACAGAGTGACACAGTAGATAAGCGAGAATGACCAAGTGAGTGAGCGGCAAATCTTTCGTGGCAATAAAAATAAAAAATATTAACAGAACGAGAAAAAAGAAAGAAAGAAGCCCTGGCAAATGATATGTGAAAGTAATGTTTCGTACTGCAGACAGGATATCTTTATGGTGACGCAATCATGATCTGCAAAAGTGGTATGAGATTTCAGTGGAACAATCTTGTGGATAAATCTGATAATGAGAACGAAGAAAACCCTCACATTTATATTCACGCCGATTCATACCCATCCTTTTTCGTAGATCGAGAAAAATAATGACAACGCATGGTGTCCAGAGGGATGCATTCATATTTGATGCATATAAAGTGACATGAAACAAATTGAAACCAATTAACTCAACTCAGAAATCGATTCGGACGCTCTCTTTTGACTAATTTGATCTCTGTATATTCGTTTCGGCGTGCTTGATTGTTGAAATACTATTTAAAATCAAGAAAATATGAAGTTTATACAAACCAATAATAAGTATCTGATTTTTTTCTACTTCTCAGTCACATTTGGTAAGAATGTTCAACGAACTACATCTTTGCTCGTTATGAATCGATAGTGCACTGTAAAAAAGATAAGGTATATTAAAGAATCGTACAGGTTGTTCCTGTGGATGCACGGAAAGAGTCTTCGTTACAGAGCTATGAATATTCCGTACTCCTGTAGAAAATCTTTCTTGAGTACCGAGGATTCTGAAAAAGGATTATTATGGAATTTACTCTTCACTTACAGCCCATCAATGCCGTCACGCTATATTACTCACACCGACACCCTGTAATTGTATGTTTTTCTTTTTGATATTATCATGTCAAAACAATTCAAATAATGTCTTGACTTCTAACTATTTATTGATCATTGCAAAACACAAGAATTTTCTTATTTGATCAATGTGAGACTTCATTTAATTTATACAACATTTTTTCTTGTGGATTGCAGCTTTATTATTCTCTGGTTAATTTGTTGTTCTTACCTGTGTTATCTAATAATCTTGGTAATAAACTAATTACTTTAAAAGTAGACTTTGACAAAGCGTCAACTTTATGATATTTTCTTCCCATATAAAATGTCTATTTTTCAAATGAAGTTCATTTGCTGAGTAGTTTTTATTCACTATCGAGTTTCGTTTAAATCTGTTAGTTGGTTCTTCATGATCTACTTTAATGAAATGTAAGATGTACCACGAGTTTTATATTTATCCTAGAACGGACACTTTTAAGAAGGCAAGAACTATATGTCACTGAGGATGAACAATCTTAGATTAATGTGCTTTAGGTAATGTGACAGCTTTAGTAAAATCTTGTCGGAAATTGTTGAATTCGATCTCTAACAGATGATCAGAAAAAGACAGCCTACTGTTGTACTTGAATATACACTGAGTTGCTTGATGCTTTTTAACCTACTTCAAGATACTGGAATCTTTTTGATGCTATATATTACTACATGAAACTACTTGTTTCTACTTCAGGCTTTAGTGATATCATTGTAAGCCAAAGTCTATAAGTTATTCTCATTTTTTGCTGATAAATAACACAAATACAGAAGAAAAGGTCAGTAGTTGACAAAAATAATAATGAATATGGATACTATGACGGTACGTGTAAAAACAAAATTATTTAAAAGAATGAATATGTGGAGGAGAGATGTAGTTCCTCACCCTATTGGAGCTGTTCAAAATCTGATCCTATAATAGCTTCATTTCCACCAAATAAACAAGATTTCCAATATACAAGGAATAACACGGAAGTGGCAAATGACTTTATTCTTGATATTGATTGTGATGTATCAATGAACGATGAATGTAAGATTAGTTTTGAGTGCGCTTGTTCGTATAAAGCGACGTGTACCAACGTATTTCGAGGGATCTTGATCATCTATTTGAAATGAAGTTACTTCATGTTGACAATTCAACCAATCATGTGATTTTGTTATTGGGACGTTATCTAATCACATATTTTCACAATCTACAGTAGTTATTGTAGCAGAACTATTATGTATATAAATCATCACGCAGTACCTAACCATACATTTTGGACACTTTCATAATAGAAGAAATGACGAATCTCAATAATGGGCAATTACGTGATAATTACATAGTTGTCTGAAGAAGTATAATGATAAAATCTTGGATTTGATGTTGTGTACAATTGATAGCTTGAGATATCATTCAACTATTTCGATTTAATTGGTCATCAGATAGTGAACGGCACTTACAATAATAAGTAAATGTAAAAAAAATGTATGTAACTAACTATTCCGTCATATCTGAGTCGAAGTTTACCCAAGAAGAATAGGAAAAAATTCGACGGTGATAAATATCCATATATTATCATGCGACAAATAAAATTTAACAAAATGCGAAGTAATCAATTGTTGTTATCATGACGCGCTTTTACAATTTATGATTACTTTGCATTATTTGTTCAAATAAGTAATTATGGAAGCATGAGAAATTTACAACATGAAACTATTATCTACTTATTTAAGCAGAAAAAAGCTTCCACTAAACATACATTTCAACATGCCAAACATGTCAAAATTTTTCATCAATATCAACTAAAATGGTTCCAGCTTTTCTTACATTATCGGTAGAACTTGTCTACCGAATTCTTGATCATATTGATGATTTCCATATTTTCTGCACGACGCAAGACGTTTGTACACATAGATGAATGCAATTGCCGACAGCTACTATCGATACCAGCTAAAACACTAATATACTTGAAAACTTGATTTTCATCATCTTTAACACAGTATTCATCTATCTAAAATGTTAGTCTATGTTATCGTCTAACTAGAATATTTCCCTTGGCTAACCACCCATTATTACTGACAAAAGTTGAATTTCACTAAACAATGCTATGAGTAACGACTGAACAATTACCAAAATGAATACCTTCCATTGAAATGACGATAACCTTGAAGAATCCAAAGTAAATCATATTTAAAAGCTGCATTCCAAAGACTGACATTGCAAATGAAGTACTGAAAACACTACTAAGATCGATCTTTTTCAGGAATATTATCGGTACAACACTATTGTATTATTAATACAGAGTTATATAAGAGCAGTTTTCTTCCATTGTACATCAACGAAAACAACAATTGTAATTCTAACAACGTTTAAGTAGCACAAGAAGAAGTCCAACAGTGTGCCGAGCGTTAGAGCATGAAACAACTCTCCTAATCAATGAGATATTCTAGTTTTTCTGCGTCAAACATTGACGAACATCAGAGCTTATTATTCCCGAATTTTTCAGTCCCTACTAGACTTCACCATTCTTGCCAAAGTTTTGAGATCCGTCGTCTTAGGTATTGTATAGCAGATCTATACGTTTTGATTTCAGAAAAGAACCCAAGATGTCACCAGGCTGATGTATTACATCCAGTGAACCATAATCCATATTCGATCAATAATCATATGGATGGGTAAAGATAGAGCATCTTTAAGGCATCAGACTCATGGATCGCTTTAAGTTGATGGAATAAGTTAGAAAAATAAGTTTTGAATACCTAGATAATTCAATCCTGCTTGTGGATCCTATCGAAAAAGATCGGATTATGTCAGAAATATGCATCAAGCTCGAGAGGTCTGTTCGTCTTTGTTTTAGAAAGGTCGTGAAACCGAAAGCATAATGAAATTATGTACAAGTAGCGATTATAGATGTATAAAGAATTATACAATTGGTGAACGCTTGATAAGCGTATCCAGTGTCATCAAAATCATAACTGCCACGAATAATTTTGTGACTGATCGAGAGTTATAGCAGTTTTGAACGAATCTCGTCAATTTTCGTCGACCACAATGCGGATTGATTAGACATTTGGGTAAGAATCTGTTGCAATTCTTGATGATAATTATTAGCTGTCTCTGGTGTATTATTATGATCAGTTCCAGGCGAAAGTGACGCACCAGTAAAGAGCCGTTGACGTAGAAGATCGATAAGCTTAAGAAGTTCTTCCTTGGTAAGCATCTCTAAAGCTTGATCTTGCTTGTTAATTGACTCTTGGTAGTCGCGAATAATACCATCGAAACGATCAAGCATACATTGTCTAAATGGCAGTTATATCCGTTGCTGAAGAAATCGCCATTGGCCTATTCATTGTATCGTCATTCAGACTTGAAGTCACCGAGCGCACTATGAATACCATTGTTGAATACAGAATGATTATTTAAAAGTGAAAAATTAAATGTTTTTGAGAGATAACTGACTTTCTGGAATTTCTAATGTTTAAAATTCTTTAAGCTTATATGCATCAGTTTAAACAATTGTAAGAATTTCAGGTATTATACATTTTTGCATTTATACCATTTTTAAATTAATACATTGATCACAAAAAAATCTTAGGGATTTCTGAAAGCCGAGTACATCTCGCCATAATTACGCTCATCTCTCAAAGATAAAGAAATACTGACTTACCAGGTTTTGTAGCTAATTTGACCTCAAAATGTTTGATTCTACGAATTAATTCTTTCAAGCTTTGGTCAAATTCGTTTGGTCGAAAGAATTCAACATATAACTCATCATTAATCAAAATACCTAGCCAACCTGTAGCATCGTATCCTGCTTCCATGAGACATGGAATAAAGTCGATATGTTTATTAATGGTGTATAACGCTTCTAAAATATATTTCAATTTTAGTAAAATACAACAGGAATAGAATGTTTTTAGATAAATAACCTCTTCTGCAATATTCACTTTTTGAATATTGACTATTGAAACACAGAAGAACAAGCCAAGACTTTTCTATTGCGTCAGCCATTTCTTCATGTATTCTTTGATGTAAATCATATTTATCCATCCATACTTGAAAACCTTGACCCTATCGATACAATCAGCTCATTAATTTATACAAGTTATCTCAATCGCATTTACCATGAGTTCAGTTCGGATTTTTTCACAAACATCTAATGACGAATCACTATGATAACTTATCATGATGTGCTGTTGCACATCAGATAATGCTTGCTTGCAGTTAGCAGTAGTGTCAATACTCGATTTAGTCTGCAGCTGACCTTCAATAAAACGATACAAGTGTTAGTGACGCATAATATTAGTTTCTTTTTTTATTATATACTAATTAGTTGATGATGACGATCGTAATTCCGTATTTTGGTCATCTGTATTAGTATTATTCAACATGGTACCATCATTGACAGCTGACACAGTATCCTGCTCAACTTCAGTGGCTAAACCTAAATGAAAGAGTAGCATCAATATGTATAAACAGCATATTCTATGTTCCTACTGCTTTCGACTGCTGGTGATCCAGATGACATAAGAGAGCCATCTACAGATATCTCCGTCTTAATGGTAGTATATCTCAAAGCAGCCCGATTATCTTTGTCAGAATCATTGTTAGCATATTCTATCAAAAAGAATCAACACATTGTACGATAATAAATTTTCTGTTCAAAAACTTTCACAAAAACTTTACATTTTGTGCAGTAGCATCATTTGAATCGACGGCGGATGATACGATCAATGATGCACTATTTTGTGATGAAGTCATGTTTCACCAAAGCTGCTGAAAAAAAACACAGTGTGCGAGAAGAACTTATCCATACACACACAATTCAAAACTGACACGTTGGCTTTTAACTTTTATTTGCACTTTTACGTCAATAGATTCTTTTCAGTTCTTTCTTTTCATCCATGCATCATAATATGAGAGAAACAGAAGAAAAAACTTGTTGTTTTCGCCGCAACAGCATCTACCATTGTCAACAGCTTTGACTGCTGTAGGTAATCGTAAAGAAAAGAAAGAAAGTAGGAAAAAACAACGGGTGAATGTGCAGTGTGAGGGTATTTGGATGTAAGTGTGGCCATATGTTGATGTAGATTGGGTAAGCTTGAGTCTGTGTCTAAGATTAAACCTTCTGTTCACTGGTAACTCACCTAGGCCAACACTGTAAACTAACCTACATCTTTTACAGCAACACGCCACATCACTCATATTCAAATCTTCACATTTCATAAGTCTTATCCGGTTATGAACACAAGTTAACTTTTTCTATGTCGACTTTCTGTGATTCATTTTATTTTGTTACGTCTTACTTTTCAATGCAATTAATAATAATTCATGAGCATCGTAGTAAAAGTTTTCTACAAATATAGTTGAAAATTGTCAAGTTGCAAGAAGTGATAATAGGTTATCTAGTCGTAGTAGATCTTCAAAATTGACACATCACAATCGGTTGGAATTGTTGGAATCTTTTGAGTTGACAGCTATCCTAAATGACTCATAAATCTGAAAACCTATTTTTCATACTTCTTTGATATGATTGATATGACAGAGAGATGACAAAGTAACTAAATATTGAATATGTTGACAGAAACTTCAAAAGTGGCAACAAATATACAAAAACTGTGTAAGAATGAATTTTCTGCAATCATCGATAATATGTTCAAGTGTTGAAGCCAGATCGATGATTTTACCCACATGAAAACAACTAAAGTAAAATTATTCGCAACGTTTTATTTTCTATTATCTCATTGAATACAAACGAAAAGAATCGAGAACATTTATGCAATATTGAGAACGAGAGATTCATTATGTCAAATGTAAAATCATTTTCATTTGTTTTCAATTCATGAATAACTGGTAAATCTTTTATTGTTTTGGAAAATTTCAAAGTCGATTACTTTATAGGTCAGCTTCGAATCAGCGAATCAGATTCGCAAAGTGGAACTTCAACGTAAGTGAAGGTTTGATTATTTTGTCTGAACAAATATTCTTATAAAATACAATGAAATTTAATACATTTTTATTTTTGATAACAACATGTACATATACATCTGTAATTGATGTTTTCAAATGGGCCGTAAATAGAATAATACTAAAATTTGAAGAAATTATTCTTAGATGTAGCAATCTAAAGAAAAGTCGACAAATAGCTTTTCTATTGAAAATAGCACAAAGCAAAAACTACACTAGATTCATACGTATCATTACAGAGAATGGTTTACTATGATGACTTCATTACTGGCAATTTGCTTATCAGACAATTGAAAATAAACGTTGTTGAGTAATTTTAATAGTCACTGCAATTATAAAAAGTTACAGCCGTATTGTCTTGAACAATTATTTTTGTCTATATATCCTCTCTCTCTCTCACTCGTCGTATTTATTGTGCATTGTATGCATATAAAAATTAAGAGTAGCTAACAATGTCGATATTTTCATTATGCTTCATCCATTTTTTTTTGTTCTAAAACAGAATTTCGTTCTTGTATAGAACATTTGATATACATATGTTCTTCTCAAAAAGGAATGCCATCGACAGTCTATTAGTTATAAACGCTTTGGTGAATATAATGTAGCAAGAACATTCATTTCTTTTTATTGATATTTTTGTCAAAAAAGATTTATCGTTAACTTTACCGTCATAATAATAATAATAGTTTATTATTAAAATCAAAAATTGATTTTTATTGAATTCATCTAAGCTATATCCTTCGTCCAACAAAGTCTTACACTCTTGATAATGAAACTATCCATAATTATTTCATTGATGCTTCGTCTTCTCCAATGCTGTGTATTTCTCTTGATTAAGTTTGTTTATAAGTTTAAAATTTGCATATTCATTTTACAAATACTTCTTAGATATAATTATTCTTTCTGTACTCTCTTTTATTTCATGATACACAATCATTGCTCGCTAATCTGTTCAATGTATTTCACGTGTTATTAATTGGATTTTTTTCTTGATTATGGGCATCGATAGCAATTAGTATACTCACATAATCGTATCGCGTTCCTATATCATCATTATTTCAGTACTGAGTGGTTGACTATAATAAGCTCTCAACGAGTCGACTTTCATGTAAAATATTTTTCTTTTGATAATGAAGTTTTCTTATCTGTATACATGTAGAAGAGCATGTATTTTAGAGACAGAATAGGTAATAAATGATACTCGTGATTAATTTTTTTTCTTCTACTTGGTTATTACATAGTCATGTATCTCTTTTATTCACTGGCCTTCTCTCTTGTTTTTTGTCGCACTTCGGTATGTATGCATGTAGAAGTTTTTTTTCATTATAGCTTGCAAAAATAGAAACAAATGATAGCATTTCATGCTTGATATATTTTCATGAGTAACTCAAACCAATCGAAGAGCAATAGTTTGTTTCAAGCATCCCATGTACAAGCTAAAATGATTGTTTTTTTTTTTAATATTTCGATCTGTCGTTTGTATAATTTCAATTATTGATTCATTTTATTACCATCATCGAATTGCACTTGATTGTTAATCGACAAATTGCCACTGGCTGCTATTACATTACTCGACGAATCTTTTTGAGATTGCAATTGAACCCTACGTTCTATTTCTTGGTTTATCATCTGCTGTTGGCAATGTGTTGGTAGACCCGGGTTTAAACTCACTGCATAGGATAACATTGTCTTTGGCAAATTTACAAAATCTACCATCACTTTGATGAACATCGTATTGTCTTTGATGTATCGATTATTTTTCTGTTGAATTTTGTCTAACGAGACGAATTGTGGAATTCCACTAGCAATATTCATATTACACCGTGGTTTTTGAAAACTACTAGACTTTGAATCAGGACGAAATGAATCAATAATATGTTTTTGTTCGTTAGTTTGATCAAACAAACAAAATGTGACTTTGTAAGTGAAAGGAAATTGAAGCAAAGAATCATGTAAACCTTGCATTAAAACGAAAAAGAGAGACATATGAGTTCGACGTGCATTTCCATCGCCGTACAAATAAAGACGAGCACACATTTTGTATCCTGTCGATGAAGAATAAAACGGTGGTGAGTAAATTGATACTTGACGTTCAGATTGAGCATCAACTAAAAATAGATAGTTCTACTAAAATACAGTCATTTCTACTGTATAGGTGATTCAGTTTTTAAACGAGTAATATTGGACTTTCTTCTATTTGAAAAGTGATAGTTTCTTTTGGCATCTTTTTAAAAATCTAAAAATTTTCTGAAATATATTTCGTCTATAATTAAAAGTAATGTCTAAAAAATTATATGCATTGTATCGAAATAATAAAAATATCTG